ACTTTACTTTATTCCTTTTCTACGTTTAGCCTTTTCCGCATCACTATTGCTGGCATCCTTTTCATGGGGCAAGTGTATAACAGGGGGCGATGGGAACGGGCTTACACAGGCCTACCGGTCAACAGGGTTTGTCAGACGCTTGGGTTTGATGGCATAATGGGTACACGGAACTGACAGAGCAAAAGGAAATATAACAAAATTACAGCAAAAAGAAAAAAAAAATCGCCCGAAACAGGCAACTATCATGAGGGCAACATGAGGGCACAGGCTCATGGGAATTATTTATCGGAGCATTTCAGCATTAACGGCCTTGATGACTATCTTTCTTCTTTTCGGCTCGGCTCGGCTATTTGAACTCGTTTATTAGTACCTAGGTGATTAGCATGTAGAATGGAATTTATCGCGATGTTTTCGGTCATTATCTTTTTCCACTTCACTAGCCATCCAACCCCTCTAAATCACCCCTTACTTTCCGAGAAGTCCCAAATCGGAAGAGAACAAAGTTTGGCTTAAGCTTTAAACTTTTCAAACTTTCGGGAGGGGAGGGTCCCCTGACCCATAAAAAAATTAATTCTAGATATAAGTGTGTTATCATACAAGGGGAGTAGAGAGTAGAAGAAGTGGGTGAGAGATCAAAGTACAGGGGGAGGAGAAATGTCGTTATCATCCTTAAAAATCCAGGATTTCCAGAACAGCCTTCGTAGGTTCTCTTCTGCATCGGTATATATCTTTACCCGCAGCCGCTGAGCCATTTCAAGAGCATACCCAAAATCATCTGGATGTGTGCCGCCCTCTTTATCAACGCCGAGATTCTCAAGTATGGTGGACAGGATCTCTTCGCACTCCTTCCACTCAGCGGCATCATGTAGTATTGCCCTTTCGACCTCGGGAGAAAACGAGATAGGACAAGGATCGGATGTCATGTCCTCCCAGATCTTGGTCAGTCCAACTAGGGCTGCTTTTAGGTTAATCAGGTCAGCATCCCAAGGGTATCCGGCATTAGAAATAAGATATTGTATCAATCCAAGGCCAGGCAAGCGAAGTGCTTGTAGATGCAGGCGATTCTCAAGCCCAGTCGCCGCATAGTAGTATAAGTTGGCCTTTTGCAAGCGGAGCTTTATATCTGCCTTCATTCGATCCACCTCATTCAAGTCCTTGTAATTTTCAGGAAGTTTGGGCTCCTTTAAAGATTGAACTCGAGAAGGGTCATGTTCACAGAATGCAGGGTAGCCAGCCTGCATAAAAAGGGGAAGAATAGCTGCATCCTGCCAGTCGATTATCCCTTCTATCTTGTTTGTTCCGGGGGTAAGAAGAATATTAGGGAAGCTCATGTCTGGATGGCGTAATATCGGCGTTGCCATCTCAGGCTGGGTCGGAACTAGGAACGAAGCAGCCTGTAGGTACTGTGATAAGAGAGATATATGTTCCCTGGGGCTGATATCTTCCTCAGTTGGTAGGAGGAAGGCTCTTCTGGGCCTTGGTTTCCCGTACTGCGACGTCCATGCAAGTTCTCGATGAGCTGCTGCAGCAACACAGTCTGCAGGACTAGTCCCTATGAATTGAATCAGACACAGTTCCCACAATGTTAGAGGGACAAAAAACAAAAGGGGGGATGTAGGGGCATACAAGGACCACGGTCAAGCTTCATGTCTGCCCTCTCGCCATGCCAGAACTGGCGTTTGCAGATAGGCCCGATGCAAAATTCTCCTCCGCCCGCTTCGATATCCACCCTTGCCTCTTTGGGTATATCAACTCGGTGGTACAGGCTACCGTATGCTGGAAATCTGAAATTAAATATCCTCTTCTCGATATCCACTATCTGCATCATTAAGTCGACCATCTCAGCCTTGGAAAGAGAAAGCCACCTTGAACTAAGCGGCTCGCCCTTGAGCCGCTCCATCAGAATATATTCAGCCCCGACTACATTGTCTGATGTTGCCGAGTAGGCAAACACTCGAGGAACAGAAATATGTAGGACATCCCGAAGAAACCGCATGGTAGCAGCTTCACTGGCTGTCGTCAGGCGTGGAGGTCCAGCAATGGGAGTTGGGATGCGGGCAAGGACTTCACTGCCATCGTCCATGGTCAGGAGAAAAACTCTGTTAAATCCCCCTTCAGCGAACTTGACAATATTTGTACAGTGCTTTCGATCAACGGCCTTTACAGCCGCGTGCTGCAGTTCTGCGACATTGAACCTGACATGACGCTCCCGCAGTCGAGCATCTTCGTTGCAACTAGAGAAACACGATGAGAATCCGAATTCAAAGCAGCAGCTAACTTAGCATGAAAGGGACAACTTACATCCACCTCCTCGAGGTATCACGGAAAAAAGTCTCTGCATCTGCTGTGGCTGACGTCGAAGCTTCTCTGGCCGCTACCCCAAGACGAAGTAGGCGGCAGCCCAGGCCGAGATGTCTGGTCGGGATGGTCACTATCATCCTTGCAAGCCCTGCTGCAGCTTCAGGCCTGACACTAACCAAAAATCGAGGATTTCATTCTCATGCGCACGTTAATCTTGATTTTTGGTTAGCGTCTCCCGCTGCTTGCTCCAATAGCGTTACCCGGCTCAAGGCTCAAAAGTCAGCAAACGAACTGGCAATTGTCTAGCCGGACAGAGTACATAGACTGAAACGCCTACATTTGATATAAATTTAAATGACGGCAGAGAGCAGCAAAACAGTGGTATACGTTACGAAAACGGAAAATGGGAGAATTGATGAAGGAAAACCTCAAGGTAAGGTCGGTTTGAGGAAGTTGAATATCCTCAGCAGACTCTGCTTGTTAGTTTGGGGGCTGCGTGTCAGAAATGTTCCATGCGGGCGCCCATCTCGTCGCTCTGAGGCTGCGAGTTCACTGACGGCCGTTCATGTTTATTTTTTTTTTTTTTCGCCAAGGATAGTTACGGGAATCCCTGATGGGGGAATCCGTTCTCTCCTTCGCTCGTTTTTTGATATCGTTTTTAGAAATTCAATGGAAAGGATAGAAAGCGAATAATGGGGGGAAGAGTAAGATATCTGCACCGGACTGTGTAGGTTGGAGGTTGTAGTTGCAGTAGAGATGTAGTTAAAAGCCGCCTATCTTCCTCCCTTGGTGGCTACGATGGGTAAGCCTTTGCTCTTCCATCTTGTGCACTGTGACGGTACCCCAGCTACTCTCAAGCATGTCCACTTACATACAAATGGTCAGCATGAACGGTATTAGCCCTTTATACCCCTTCACGTTTCTCAAATTGTAGACAACGTCTCATTAATTTTGGCCTGCAGGAACGTTCACACCGGGTCCGATCATTGAACCGCCTCCATGCTCGAACGGGGTGGGCTATGGCACTCCTTCCAAGTCTTCCAACCATGCGCATGCCGGCAGTCTTCCTAGCAACACCCACACTCACGATGACAGCACCACCCAGCAAGAAAAATCCACGCCCAGGTACAAAAATATGGTTCAGGAGGATCTTAAGGGCATAGGCTCCTGGGCTGATGATCAGTCACTTCAATGAGCGTATCCTCGTTTCTCTCTCATCATATGTCCACTGCTATGTTCTGTAAACATTATATCATGTCAATTTATGTATCATATAATGAGATTGCAGAGACAAAGGAATAAACCCACATTATGACTCCTTCCCCTCCAACACTTCACCCATGTCGGCAAACTGGGTAAAAATCTCTCCGCCTGCCCTCCCTTTCGCATCAAAAACCACCCCTTCACCACGCAGCAGCTTCGTTTTTTCCACTGCATAAGAGCCGCCATTACCCCAGCTGCCCTTATACCCGCCGATGGTGCGGTTCGACGCCAGAACGCGATGGCAGGGAACCTCGGGTGCAAAGGGATTGGTCTTCATTGCATTCCCTATCGCCCGCGCGGAGGAGGATAAGTGGGCAGAGAGCACTGCATAGGTCGTCCACTGACCCTTGGGCACGGAGAGCAGAGTTCGGTAGACCCGTCGTCTGTAAGGAGTGAGAGATGGGTGTGAGGAGATGCGGTCCAGCTGCTTGCGGAGGAATTCTGGGTCCTCTTCGGCTGCTGTAGTTGGCTTCTGGGATATCATAGAGGCTGACGAGAGGATGATCTTCTTCTGCAACCCAAAGGTCATTCGAGATCCTGAAGCCGACAGCTTCCGCTTTGGCCTCGTCCTTACTGCGGCAGTCATTGTTGCTTTCTCTTCTTACTAGCTGTATGTTTAATGTAGCTGGATATATAACGATGAATCGTCGTTGCAAGAAACTTGTCGAGACGCTCGAGACGCTCGAGATGCAGGAGGTTGCTTTGTCCCTTTTAATATCGTCGTCGCCTTCGGTCGCGTCGCGATTTGTAAGCTTGTCGTCATTATAGCCAATCAGAGGCCGCCAATGAATATCTGCCTTCACGTAAGCACGTGACCTAAATTGTTATGACTAAGCTGCTGCATTAGGCTTTTAGTGACAGAAAAGGCATAGCTCCCGGCCGGATGACTAGTGTGCTTGGCGTTCTTGGAGCCTCCAAAGAGGCGAAAATCCAAGACGTTTTTCTTTTCTTTTTCTTTCTTTCTCGCTTGCGCATATCAAGACGCTCCGGGATGCCTCCTGTCAGGGGCAGATCCTTAACAGCTTTGGTACTTATATGACATCTCCATGATACCGAAGTGTAGGGATGCCGGCAAGCGGAGTTACACTGTTGACGCAATGATGTTCGGCACGCTGAGCCCCCGACAAATAGGCTCACACTTTTCCCGGGATCGCTTCTCCACTGCGGACCAAATGCTTTGACGAGACATGCATCAATGCCGAGCTGTTGCAATACTTGTGATATCGATAATGGCAGGTTCTAGCCGATCCACCACCATGGGGCTGATGGCAAAGTCCAAGACAGCTATATATCGTCTCCAGGTCCACGCATTGTCTTCCACCTCCCGCTCGCCTTAAAAGGGCATTCGTTTGAAGCTATTCTATACGTCACAATGACACAAAAGATTCACCGGTGGAATATTACCCACCGGCTCGAGAAGCGCTCGCTGCTGATTGCGATCAACAGCGTAGCTGCTCTATCCATTTTCTTCTTCGGCTATGACCAGGGCATGATGGGGGGCGTGAACAACGCCAAACACTACATTGAGCTCATGGGCTTTGGGCATACAGAGGCCGTCAACGGGTCAAAGCACAGCCCCGTCATTACTGACAGCTTGCTTCAGGGGGGGATTGTGTCGGTGTATTACCTTGGCACTTTGGTGGGAGCACTTGCTGGTGGAATGGTTGGGGATAGACTGGGACGCATCAGATCTATCGCCCTGGGTGCTGTTTGGGGAATCATTGGAGCTGCATTGCAGTGCTCTGCCCAAAATCACGTCTGGATGATTTTTGGTAGGTTTGGTCGCGTGTTCTCGGTTGATGGATGCTTTACGAGCTAACGTCTCCATGCAGCCCGGTTGATAAATGGTATAGGTACGGGCATATTGAATGCGATTGTGCCGGTATGGGCCACAGAAACGGCAGAGCACAAGTCTCGCGGTCAATTCATTGCAATTGAGTTCACCCTCAATATCTTCGGCGTTGTTGTGGCCTATTGGCTGGAGTTGTATGTCTCTCACTTATCTACCTTTCACCATGAGACTATATTATTAACCAAAACCTAATTGTGGCCTTGCGTTCATTGACGATGGTGCGACTGCTTTCCGCTGGCGTTTCCCAATCGCCTTCCAGATCCTCCCCCTGCTTCTCCTGTTTGGCATTTTCTGGCTCTTCCCCGAGTCTCCCAGATGGTTGGTCAAGAAGGGTCGTGATGAAGAGGCCCGCTACATCCTGAGCAAACTCCGAGGGACTGAAAGTGAAGAGGACATTGCACGCGCAGACGCAGAGTTCAACGATATCAAACAAGTTGCTGCACTCGAGGAGACATATAGCACCTCGTACCTGTCTATGTTTACTGGCCGTGGGTCAGGAAAACTGCATATTGGACGGCGTGTCCATTTGGTTGTTTGGCTGCAGATCATGCAGGAATGGGTTGGCATAGCTGGCGTTACTATCTGTATGTCCACCCTGAATACTCTGCATCAATCTGGTAATGACTAACAAGAGAAGATGCCCCTACCATCTTCCGCATTGCAGGCTTTGACGCCATAAAGAGTCAGTGGATCAGTGGTCTGAACAATATATTTTACATGGTATGTTTTGCTTCTACCTCACATAACCTATAACCACGTTTACTGACTTAAAATCTTTAGTTCGCTACGTTAATCTGCGTCTTCACTCTTGACCGCATTGGTCGCCGCTGGACTCTCTACTGGGGCTCAGCTGGCCAGGGAATTGCCATGTTCCTTGCTGGCGGGTTCTCACGCATAGGCCTAGATGCTACCGCAGCAGGAGACGGAGCCAAGGCCGCTTCATACGGCGCAGCGGCAGCATCGATGATCTTCATTTTCACTTCGGTGTTTGGCGCCACCTGGCTTACCGTTCCGTGGCTCTATCCCGCGGAAATTTTTCCACTTGCAGTCCGGGCTAGAGGCAACGCATGGGGTGTAGTTGGCTGGAGCGTTGGTAACGGATGGCTGGTATGTCTATCTCTTTCCATCCTTTCCCTGGTTTAACTATTCTAAGCTAACTTGATGATAGACTCTACTCTGCCCTGTGATGTTCGATGCCATTGGAGAGAAGACGCTTTACATCTTTGCCATCAGCAACGCCATCACTATCCCCATGGTGTGGGCACTCTATCCAGAATCTAACCAGCGCACTCTGGAGGACATGGACCTCCTCTTTGCTGCTGACACCCCCTGGACCTGGGACGCTGAGCGCACTTTTGCTGAGCTCAAGGCCCAGAATACTTCTCCTGAGATTAAGCAGTCTGTATAGAATACACCGTCATCTATATACCAATATAAATATATTTTCAGACCAAATACACACGATCTAGCGTCCATCTATCTATCTCTTTTGTCTATAGCTACCCATGACCCCCATGTATATATGATGACTAAGCGGACCGTAAAAGGCCGACGGAGAGCGCGCGCCGGCGCCGACAGCGAGCTAACCGCTTTGGGCAGCCAGCGCAGTTTCAACGCAAAAAGAACTTCGACTTCAACCTCCGACTTTGCTTCACGATCGTGACATTTCTTTCCATCTTCATCCTCCAAAGCGCTCGCGAGCTGCCAATTGACTGCTGTCGCTCCCTCTATTTCCTCCTCGAAGCAGTGCTTTCTCCTTCCAAGCTTCTCTCTCCCCAATCATGTTCCGTACGGTCGTTCCTCGCCGTGCCTTTCAGACGGCTTGGGCTCCGTCCCAACGAACCGCCGCAACCGCTTACCCGGCCTTTGGGGCTTACATTCTCCCCAGATCAAGGAGAGGATACGCTACAGAGTCAGGTAAGGCTGAGATAATACCCACTGGTTTGGACCGTGATGCTGTTCGGGAAGGCTGACCGTTTGCCGTTTGTTATTCCGGTAGAAGAGCATGATTTGGTCATAATAGGCGGCGGGGTGGCTGGCTACGTTGCTGCCATCAAAGCCGGTCAGGAGGGCCTAAAGGTACGTTGATTAGCGGCTCCTTTTAACTCCGGGTGCGCGCTTGACCGTTGATTTCTGACATTGGCCGTGTAGACTGTCTGTATCGAGAAGCGCGGTACCCTAGGCGGAACTTGCCTTAACGTCGGCTGTATCCCATCAAAGTCTCTCCTCAACAACTCCCATCTCTACCACACCATCATGCACGACACAAAGAAGCGCGGTATCGAAGTTGGCGATGTCAAGCTCAATCTCGAGCAGATGATGAAGGCCAAGGAATCCTCGGTCGAGGGTCTCACCAAGGGAATTGAGTTCCTCTTGAAGAAGAACAAGGTTGACTACCTCAAGGGTACCGGCTCTTTCGTTGACCAGAACTCCGTCAAGGTTGAACTCAATGAGGGTGGTGAGCGTGTTGTCAAGGGCAAGAACATCATCATTGCTACTGGCAGTGAAGCCACCCCATTCCCCGGATTGACCATTGACGAGCAGAAGATCATCACCAGCACTGGTGCTCTTTCATTGAAGGAAGTTCCAAAGAAGATGGTTGTCATTGGAGGTGGAATTATTGGTTTGGAGATGGTATAGCATGTTCCGCCTAATATTAAGCTTGCATGTGGAAACTTTAACTAATGACGATTGTTGTAGGCCTCCGTCTGGTCTAGACTTGGCTCTGAAGTCACCGTCGTCGAATTCCTCGGTCAGATCGGTGGTCCCGGCATGGACGCTGAGATCTCCAAGCAGGCCCAGAAGCTCCTTGGAAAGCAGGGCATCAAGTTCATGACCGGCACCAAGGTTGTCAGTGGTGACGACAGCGGTAGTACCGTTACTTTGAACGTTGAGGCTGCCAAGGGTGGAAAGGAGAAGACACTGGAAGCTGACGTCGTTCTCGTTGCCATTGGTCGACGACCATACACCGCTGGTCTCGGACTCGAAAACATCGGCATTGACATTGATGATAAGGGCAGACTCGTCATCGACCAGGAATACCGAACCAAGTCCGAGCACATCCGTGTCATTGGTGACTGCACTTTCGGCCCCATGCTCGCTCACAAGGCTGAGGAGGAAGCCGTTGCTGCCGTTGAATACATCACCAAGGGCCATGGCCACGTCAACTACGCCGCAATCCCAAGTGTCATGTACACCTACCCCGAAGTCGCCTGGGTTGGCCAGAACGAGGCCGAGGTCAAGGCCTCTGGTGTTGAATACCGCGTCGGATCTTTCCCGTTCAGCGCCAACTCCCGTGCTAAGACCAACCTCGACAGCGAAGGTCAGGTCAAGTTCATTGCTGATGCAAAGACTGACCGCATTCTTGGTGTCCACATCATCGGCCCCAACGCCGGTGAGATGATTGCTGAGGCCACCCTTGCCATCGAGTACGGTGCTAGCTCGGAGGACGTTGCCCGAACCTGCCACGCTCACCCAACTCTCGCCGAAGCCTTCAAAGAAGCTGCTACGGCCACCTACTCCAAGGCCATCCACTTCTAAACCGATTCGCCGAAATAACTACACCGCTCAGATTAAAAGCACCAGGCACCCTGCACTTCTTTGACCATAAACCAAGCTTGATGTTTTGCTTTTTGTGTCCTTACGAGCCTATCTCATAAATCGTGCGCCTCCTGCCAAAAGAATCAAAGAGTACCATCATCTTTCTCCATCCTTTCGACCCCTTTCTACCTCCATCAACACCTCTATCGACATTCCTCAACACCACTTGGCTTGACCTGATGCTACTGTTTATATATCCTTCTCCCGACAGACGACACTATACTCCTTTCTTTTTGGCCATTCTGTAACCATAAACCGGACATGAAGCTAATCTAGAATAAAACTGTATTTCATATTCGTTTTCTTTCCTTTGTTTATCTATATTATTTGAAAAATTTGATCGTGTCAGACACAGAAAAATCTATCGATCACGACACATCCTCCAGCCAATCCACCGAAAGTTGATACACAACAACAGCATGCAGATAGGTCCAATTACAATTATCACAGTCATACCTTGAGCTGTTTTAGATGTCCAAGAAATGAGAAAGGGGGGCCAAAAAATGTGGATACCATTACTGTAACAACCTAGGAATCTGGACTGGGCGGGTAAAAGGCCCTGATAGCTGTCCACCTGCCAACGCAGTTCCCTGAGCCAAGAGCTGCGGGCCTCTTACCATATTCAACGCATCTACCTGATGGGCACGAGATGTATGGCAACACTCACACGTGCATTGGGGTCTAGCCGTAGTTGGGATGATGGCCGAAGGTAAGACCCGAGCAGGTGCAGCAATCGCCGGTCGATTAAGCGCCATGAGAGCTCCTCCTCCTACCCCTGCGGCTATCTGGCCTTGATACGGTTGGCTCTCTATTTGAAGAACATTGTTTGACTGTACCTGGTGACCATTGGACCGGGAGCCCTCGTGCTGGGAACAGTAGTAATGGTGATGATGGTGAATTTCACAGCGGCTAGAATCTCTGCTCCGGCTATGACCTGATCGTCGACTACGGTAGTGATCTCTGTGTCGAGACCGTCTGATGCCATGGTGGCCATCGCCTGCCCGGTAACCAGTTTCGTCTGAGTCCGAGACATATGTGTAACTCTCTTCATGTCTACAATTTCGCGTTAGATTCTTATATTTTCACAGCTAAGCGGAGGGTCTTGGTTAAATACTCACCTAGGGACTCTCCATCTTGGGCGTCGGAATCGCTGTCTCGGAGCCTTTTGTCTTGGACGAGGCAGAACCATGGTATAGTCATCGTCAGATACATCAAAGTAGAAACCCTGGTCGCTCATATGTGGGATATTATCGATCCCTTCATGGTAATAGTCATCGAAATCATCATCGTAATAGGTGGACATGGTGCTAAGTGTGGCGGTGGTTAGACAGTAGCAGTTTGGTGCTCTAGAATAATCATTCATAGGGCAACAAAACACGTTGTAGGGATCCTGCGATTGATTAGAGGGAATCCAAGGCTTAAATGCTCTAAAAAATCAAACAGGCTCTTTGTAATTGCTTGGAGAGGAAACATGTGAGACTGTAGTAATCCATTACGCCTATTTTAAGAGGTCTAGTTATAAGGCGTAGGAAGAATCAGGTAATCAGGAGGTTGATCTGGTGCAGACACCCGTATGCCGGTCAGTTTGCTTTCATGTCTGAGGTGGTCAGTCAGCTTGGGCATAAAGACATGAGCATTAAAACAATCTGCTTGAAGAACGTGATGAAAGCCTGAAGTACGTGTTGATGAGTAATGGGTGCAAGGTGGTATGCAAGAAGGGGGGACACCCTGGAGACTAGGGCAAACTTTTGCCCTGTGCAACCCCAAAAACACATGTATGCCTTGGAATTGTAGCCTGAGGAGAGTTATTCACACGTATGGAAGACCACACGGGTTAGGATTTGGTAGGACAGAGCTAAAACAATTTCTCACTCGATTGTTATACCTCACCAACATCTATGTACGTCGGCATTGGCACTCTTCAGGATCGATGGATATTTGGCTTCTTTACGCGAGCTTCAAAATATGTCCAGATGAAGTTGTCATACTGTTGAAATAGGTCATAGCTGGAGCGTATGGTTTTATCCAGTTTTCTACAACGGCCGTCAGCAAATCACAAACCGCTTCAACGGCGTCGTTGCGGGAAGCACCGCAGCTCTCGATATAAACTAAGAATCAATGTGTTAGCCAATGTAGTTTCCATTATACGGCCGGGTTTCATTGTTAACTATAACTTACTCTTAACCTTCGGCTCTGTGCCTGAGCCTCGAATTGTAAACCGAATGCCTCGATGTGACCATATAGTGAGCATCTGACTCGCGGGATCTACAGGAAGCACTGGCCGCTTATCCGCAGTATCTGAGTCGTAACCTCTGGTCATATCTCTCCATCTATGGATAGGGAATGATCCGATAGTACCCTGAGCATCAAGAGTATTCTTTCGGATGCTCTCAAATAGAGAAGTAGTGCTTTTCGTGTCTGGCGAAACGAAGTAAGTGTTGAGGTTTTCATGGTATCCATACATTTCGTAGAGTTGTTCAAGCTTCCCGAATGGGGTCAGGCCCTGTTCTTTCCATTTCGCCTCAGCTGCTAAAAACACCATGGCAGCGGTGAGCCCATCCTTGTCATAGCAAACTTTCGTGAACATGTACCCAAGAGCTTCTTCAAACGCAAACGGCACTTCATAGCCTCGGGTTTCAAGCTGTCGGGCAACATTCCCCATCCACTTAAATCCAGTTAAAGTCTCTTCGAAATGGAAGCCTTCTTTCTCGGCCATTTTTGATAGCATGTTTGACGACACTGCAGAGTTTAGCATAGCCATGGGTTTTTCTGACTTCTTATTCTTCCATAAATCCAGGAGATGCGATGCCAGTAGAACCCCTATATGATCTCCAGTGAACCTAAACCAGGAACCACTTTAAAGCTGTTAATCGGGGCCATGGAAAAGAAGAATTTAAAAAATACGTACTTGACCTTTTCAGCAGCAGCGAACCGATCTGCATCTGGATCGTTGGCGACTATTAAAGTTACACCAGAATTATCTGCTGTTTTCATGGCTAAATCCAAAGCACCATTTTCTTCTGGATTTGGGAATTTAACGGTCGAAAAGTCAGGGTCAGGCTGCTCCTGTTCAGGAACCGTTATGATTCCTTCAATGCCCAAGGAAGCGCAAAGTTTAGACATGGTAGCGTGACCAACGCCGTGCATTGGTGTATAAACAAATTTACTGGGCTGTCGCCAATTATCAACGGTTGATTTCTGCAAGCTGTCAGTGTACAAACGAAGTTCTCGAGGTATGACAGGGCTGGGTAGCAACTAACAGCGAATCTATTGACAGTTTCACAATAAAGGGCTGAGACCTCACTATGTAGATCTGATTCTCTGGTCTGAGGGCCGTCTATCCCGCGCCACGCATTGGGCCAAGGAACCAGGTTGGTCCTGATTGATTCTGCTATCTGGCCATCAATTGGGGAGTTGATCTGGGCTCCGTTTGAGAAGTATCTTTAGCCAATGAGTTAGTATCGCCCCAAAGAGCTTACTAGGAGGTGGTTGCTAACACTTTGTATCCTATATTTAAAAGGTCAGCCAATCGAACAGAGAGTAGAGATCAGTGGGTGTAGCTGTCAATACCATTGTCTTGTGCCGGATTCTATTCATCAATTAGCTAAATCTCACACTTCCAGCATTGGCGACGCAGAACTTACATGACTAGCTGTAACCATGACTCCGGCATCTGCCTTCTTCAGCAGAACAGCAAAGGGCACAAACGGGGTTGGATTAACACCATCATACCACCACACATGTATACCCTCGGCTTCAAAGGCGTTTGCTGCAAGGAAGGCGAACTTCTGAGAGTTGTGTCGAGCATCACGGCCAATCACCACTGACGGCTGTTCTGTGCCTTTGTGGGTTGTTTTGATAAACTTGGCCAGCCCCTGGGATGCCTGAATGACGGTAAGAGAATTCATGCATGAGAAACCGGCTTGCATCCTACCCCGTAGGCCAGCAGTCCCAAACTGAATGCCTACATATCTGTTAGGAACTCCGTATTTTGACCTGGCAGGGTTTCCACGCACGCTCTCGTAGGCGCTTCTCTAGGCCGGCATCATCTTTGTCTGCCAGGAGCTTCTCGATCTCCCCGCGAGTGGAAGGGTCCTGGTCCCATTCTAACCACCGCTGGATGAGGGTATCAAGTGGTTCCTACAAACACGTCAGCCGTTGTCCCGTCTTGTACCAATAGCATGCAACTCGATGGTAATTCGTATTTCGATGTCCCGCACATGAAAGGAGAGCAACCCACCATGATTAGTTAGTCTACGACAAGAAGCTATTATTCCAGGCTGACAACGTAACTGTCTAATATAAAGGGGACCTCACAAGTAGACAAACCACCACTCCGTATGTGTAGAATCCAAGATGAAGGACGTCGTCGAGTCGGAGTTTCAAAAGCAAAAATAAAGCCACAGGTCGGGGATGTCTTGGCGCTGGAGATGCCGAAAAGGGACGCCCGCGAAAAAAAAACGACGAACCTCGACTTCATCTCCTTTCCTGCGGCATCTCACGCCACTCTCGACCGTGGCGTGTCGGGTCTTCAGCTGTCTCATCCACGAGCTTCGTTTCCCTCCGTGTCGAGCATGCTGTGAGCTATTCGATCCGACTCCTTTGAAGCTCAGAACCTTTCGCTGGTTATAAACTACTCCTTGTGGTTCACAGACCGCCGAAAGCTTCTGCCTGACGACGCCATGGCTGCTTCACGCAAAAGCACCGTCTTGACAAGAAATGAGATAGGGAAACAGATCGCGGATGGAAGGCATATCGTCATCTTCGAGGGCAGGGTGCTGAAGCTGGATGCATGGTTGCCATTCCACCCTGGAGGTGACAAAGCTATCCAGCATATGGTTGGCAGGGATGCTACCGATGAGATGAATGCGTATGTCTAAGCGTTTATCATTTTTGTCGCCGCAGGAGAGCCATTGTGGGAGAATGATAATAGACTAACTCGCCAATATAGGCTTCACTCTGCGGCTGCAAAAGAACGGATGAAGTCCTTTCAGATTGGAAGAATCGAGGGTGCCTGGGTCAACTTCCTACCGCCGATCCAAGGGGGAGATTTCTCCATTTACACCTCAGGGGACTTGTCTGCTGCCATTGAATCCGATGATAACTCATCCGGTAACGGACAGTCAATGCCCCCTTCGCCGTTGTTCGAGCCTGCCGATAAAAAGGATTCAGGCCTGAGACGGCGAGGTTCCGTGTCTACGTCCATATCCTCTGTTGGAACTGCTTCTCCAGCAAAGAAAGACTCCGAAACAAGACCTTTCTTCCTCGATGCCCGAACGCAGGAAGAGATTGCCTTTGACACGGCAAAATACCCGCCAGTTACTGCTGTAGAGCAAGAGCGCATCGTGCAGAAGTACCGCCAGCTATACAAGCGCCTTCTAGATGAAGGCCTGTTCAACTGCAATTATTCAGCGTACCTTGTTGAAACATCTCGCTATTTACTACTCTTTGGATTGTTCCTGTACTTCTTGCATTGCGGCTGGTATGGTACCTCTGGTTTCTTCCTTGGATGCACATGGCACCAGCTGGTTTTCACCGTCCATGATGCTGGCCATCTTGGAATCACGCACGACTTCCACACCGATACTGTAATCGGAATTCTTATCGCAGATTTTATTGGTGGATTAAGCATCGGCTGGTGGAAGAGAAACCACAACGTGCATCACATCGTCACCAATTCTCCAGAACACGATCCTGATATCGAGCATATGCCATTTTTTGCTGTTTCACATCGACTGTTCGATAGCCTTCGAAGTACTTACTACGAACGTGTTATGGAGTACGACTTTGCCGCAAAGTTCCTTATTCGTTTCCAGCATTTCCTATATTATCCCCTTCTATGCTTCGGTCGCTTTAACTTGTACCGCCTTAGCTGGGAGCACCTGATTCGTGGCCAGGGTCCTCGTAAAGGTGCCGCCTGGTGGCACCGCTGGCTTGAGATTGCAGGCCACGTTTTCTTCTGGGCTTGGTTCGGCTACGGGGTTTTATACAGATGCATCCCCGACTGGCAAAGCCGGGTTCTTTTCGTCATGGTCAGCCATATGATCACTGCGCCACTACATGTTCAAATCACTCTGTCGCATTTCGCCATGTCTACTTCCGACATGGGCGTCCATGAGTCATTCCCGCAGAAGATGCTCAGGACCACTATGGATGTTGACTGCCCGCAATGGCTTGACTTCTTCCACGGTGGCCTTCAGTTCCAGGCCGTACACCATCTCTTCCCACGACTCCCTAGACACAACCTTCGCCGTGCGCAGAAATTGGTCATCGAGTTCTGCGAAGAAACCAAGATTCCATATGCCATCTTCTCATTCGTCGACGGCAACAAAGAAGTCATTGGGCATTTGGGAGATATTGCTAAGCAAGCACGAATGTTAGCTGAGTGCCAGAAGTCAATTGCTGAAAAGGGTGTATTTTCGGATCACCACCATTGATTGATGAATAGTAATGGATAGAGAACTCTTAATGTTGATAGATTTTCTTGGATCAAGTGTGAAGAGGGAGAGGAGATACCTATATATATTAATGCCGTCTTTCACTTACGCTTCACATTAGAGACCAGTAATGGATGTTAATGGAATGAATGCTCGTCTTATAGAGCAAGATGCACCGCGAATGAATTATGATTATATGTCTATTCTCGATGCAGTCATAAAAGTCGTATTTTCGTATCGTCCCCCCGGAGCTTTTGATCTGCATGCTTTTAATAAAAGCAGCCATACTCTCAGCACATAGGAGGCTGAATCGCACAGAATCACAGGCCGCCTCTCGCCATTTTCTTTGCCCTTTGGTTGCGCCTATTATGATTCGCCCTCGAGCCCTTGTTTTCATCTTTCCGTCGTCTTTCAATCGCTGACTCGGGTGCAGTCGATGCTCCCCCTCGGCCCCCGCCTCTACCGCCACCTCTACCACCCCGGCCACGACCACGGCTCTGTCCTCGACCTCCGTCATGGCCTCCAGACTCTTCTCCAGAACCATCTTCACCGGCAGGTCTTCTATATGCCGTAGGTTGAAGATCGGGCTGTTGGTGCGCACGTAGCCCAGACAAAGCCACATTCCGCTCTAGCCTCGTAACTCGCTTTGGATCGCGGGAGAGCATCAATGCCCATCCCTCAATTGCTTCGTCCGTCATTCCTGTCTCTTTACGCAAACTTATTCTGTGCTGGGACCGACGAGTGTTTTGGTCGCGTGCAAATGCTCCGGGATTGGACTTATAAAGATCATATAGCTTCAGCTCAATTGCCATGCTGCCACCACCTTCTCGGGACTCGGCTGCATCGCCATCTGTTGCTGTTGGGTAGGTATCCACTGTTCCACCAACATCGGCGAAGTCATAGGTGTCATCACGCTCATCATCGTCCGAATCAAATGCCGCAAGAGCAGCCAGTATTGCAGCCTTGTTTGTTGAGCCAGACTTATTAGCGAGCAGGTCATCTGCAGTAAGATCGGCATTGGCACGACCTATATGCAGCTTCGAAGGTGATATCTCCAGCCGGTCAAATTCATCATTATCGAATACATTTTTACGCTCAATGTGAGGAACAGGTGACTCAGAACGGGGCGGAGTAGGCCGTGGTGCGAGATCAACCACATCTTGCTGTTCTGAAAGTTGGACTCCTTGGTCAAGGGATTTAAGATGTTCAGGAAGGGTCCCCTCTATGAGATTCGAGATCGTCGCTTCGAGATCATCGTTGTAAAAATCAAGAAGTTGCACAATGTATCCTGAGCCGAGATCAGGGAATAGATCCTGTACCTGGGTGGCAAGGGATATTCGATGGACGTGAACGTCTTCCTGGATTCCAGCGGAGATATCTCGCCCTTTGCCCTTATCCACTTTCCTTGGACGCTGGTACGACTTGTGTAATGCCTGGCACTCAGAGCGGTATGTTTTGAGGGAAGAAACTAGGGAATCGCCTCGCTTTTGCTGCTGGTCCCCAACTAGCACATTCTCGAGGCGTTTGATGAAGTTGGTACTGCAAAGGAGGGCCGAGAGTAATGTTGGCTGAGTTCTGGGTCCCTTTGACTCGACATTTGCAGAGCTCTTTAGACCGTAGAGTTGATCTAAGAGTGCTGAAGTCGCGGGGGGATTCACCTTCATCAATGATATAAGCCCAACATATATATGGGCTACTAGAGCTTTTTGTAGATGTTCATCCTTCGACTTGTGGAATGCCTCGAAGATTGCATCTATGTAATCATCACCAGCCATAAGAACTCTTCCCACCTCATATAGATTTGATGAAAGGAGCGTCAAGGGCCGTAATCTTCTCTCAATTTTCGTATATGGCTCATCCTTCGAGGTCATCTCTTTTATTATATCTGCCTTCACCTTGTGTGTGCTGGAGACCAGGACTTCTGAATCCCTCTCCCACACCTCCAGCATTAAATTCCTGAGGGGTAAAGTAGAGGTATAGAAAAAGCACAAGTTCCCCAGAAAGTCAACATTCACAAGTTGTGAAGGACCATGAGATCCGGCCAGTAGTATCCTCCGACTTAAGAGGAAACAAAGGCGTTGTAATAAACTGGCTGCCTTTGATGTTGGTCCATGTGTACGTGGCAACCCCCCTGAGAAGTATGAAGTAAGGAACAGGTATGCAGCATCATCCTTTGAAGCAGATAGTTCAAATTCCCGGTCGTTCAGCCTTAAGCGAGCTTCAACTGATCTGATCCAGGCATCTAAACATGCTTTCCATTCGTCATCTGGTATAAATTTGTGCACTGACGGCGGTGGTACAGGCGCCAGGGGCAGTAAAGTTGTTTCCACCATTCCAGAGATATCATGCAGGTTGAGCTTCAAAATCCACAGGACTGCTAATAAGGAGATAGCAGCTACTTTCAAGGGCAAAAAATATCAAACCAGCAGTTTGCTGTTGCTGTGTTGTTGTTGCTTTGATTCAGCTTTTTGATATTAGAAAAACTGCGGGACATCGAAATGCTGACTCATCGTTGTATTAGTCATGATGAGTCATTGACTTCTAGACCTAAAGGAGTTAGATCAACTAACCGACATGCCAAGACTTCACCCACAAATTATTTTTAACATCAAAAAGAAAGAAAAAAGATCGCGATAGTCAAGGAAGAAAAGGAAGATAGCTCCCACCACCACACCAACACACACGCCTTTCATCACATTACCGAACTCGAACAGTTCAGGTCTTGATTGGCACTTGCCCTCAGCATATTCTTGTAAGTGCTGATTACATGTCTCTCCCTGGCTTGACGCCTGTTATCTAACGTACGAGTTATGGTCGCAATGCAGAACCAACCAGATTAGCTACTCTTAGCTCCTCAAACCCAGCAAAGATGTCTTACCAGAAGCCCGAGAAGGAGTTTGGCGAAGGCCCAGTACGTTCTTCATATCCTCGGTGGTTGCGCAGCGGCAGCAGGCCACGTAAATTGCCTGTCATGGGAGGGAGCAATCGGCTAATATACATGTGCGCATTATAGAAAATCCACAAGATCCGTATCACCTTGACCTCGCGCAAGGTCGCCTCTTTGGAGAAGGTCTGCCAGGAGCTCATTGACCGTGCTCGCTCCAAGTCTCTCTTCGTCAAGGGACCCGTCCGCCTGCCAACCAAGACTCTTCGCATCTCTACCCGTAAGACTCCTAACGGTGAGGGTTCCAAGACCTGGGATCAGTATGAGATGAGAATCCACAAGCGTTTGATTGAGTATGCGCTATCATTGTGTCTTTTGCCTATATTGTTTCAAGGCTAACCGTTAATTTAGTCTCCATGCTCCAACTGAGACCGTCAAGCAGATCATCATTAACATCGAAGCTGGTGTTGAGGTCGAAGTCACCATTGCTCAATAAATTAGTTGAGAAGGTCCGTGCTTTGAGTAGTCTAGGTTTGGCCGACTGTTACGGTGATGCAGGGAGTGAGGATTCTATATGTTCTCGTCTAGCATTGCTTCGTCGGCCTGGTTATAGAATATCAGAAAAAACTTCCTATCCTACATTCATATCTTTGTTCCGACGTAGCCGTATTCACTGAACCGAATGCAAGTTAAAGTGACTAAAAGTATTTCAATGCAATATACACCGCCAAGTAATGAGAAAATGTGGTATAGATGGTCATCTCAAAACAGATGAGGTAAACCAATGCCGCTTCGCCAAACGCCAACCATGCCGCCATCTCGTCCATGTGAAAGTTCAGATGTCGTATCTTGACCATTCGGGTTTAGGCGGTACCGAAGGCATTACTCCATCTTTGAATGCTCCGTTTTCATGGGCGAACTTATAAGCTTCTTCCACAGCCGAAGTATACTCCCCTGGAGACGCCACTGAGTACTTGAATGTATCGGCCTTCGGCGGGCCATCGGGAAAAAATATATGAGCATAAAATTGCGGATCATCTGGATGCTGGTAGCATGGCTCGTCATCAATATACTGGACCCGAAGACCTTTCCATACTGTGAGCTTTTTGGTCATAGGGTCCTGCACTGTCTGTCCAGACGTTTTAGGTAGAGGATTCAGGTTGGGGTTAGCATTTTTCACAGGAAGAATGGGACCACTGGGCGGTGGTACGTTGACTGCGCTGGCCTGAGGCTGAACAGAAGTCGCTGGACCTTTAAAGGGGGAAGGCTGTCCAAATGGCGCTGGCGTTGATTGTTGTTGGTTTAGAGAATTGCCTGAGCCGAATGGATTTGTCCCAAAGCCTGGTTGTGACTGAGTCGAGCTTTGAAGCTGTGCGAATGGAGAGCTTTGTTGCGCTTGGGCAGCTTGTGCTTGTGGCTGGCCAAACGGATTGGTGGTCTGAGCAGCTTGGGAGAATGGAGAGGCGGTGGGCTTTCCAAAGGGGTTTGACTGTTGTTGGTTTGCAGAAGCAGCAACTTGGCCGAAAGGAGAGCTTCCCATGGCGGATGGCTGTCCAAAGGAGGGAGTGCCAAATGCCGGGGCACCAAGGGATGGTGTACCGAAGGATGGTGTACCAAAAGCGGGTTGCTGTGGTTGCTGCTGGCCTAGCATTGTTGGCTTCCCAAAAGTACTACCGAATCCTCCTGATTGTTGAGATGAATTCGAACCGCCAAATGGTGAAGGCTGAACAGGGTTTTGAGGCTGAGACTGCTGGGAAAATGGGTTCGGCTGGGTATTAGATGAGGAAATCGCTGTAATCTTCCCGTTTACTATGTCATGCCGGTTTGGGTGCTGATTTTCTCCATCAACCACATACTGGATCGCAGCATCCAAATTGTTGATGATGTTCTTCATCTGAGCTTCCGTGGCAGCAAACAGGTTATTTGCATTTTGTATGGCCTCCTGCGGCTTCCCTTCGGCAACAGCAGCGTAATGCAATGCTCGCATTTCTTCAAAGCTTTGCTCTCTTTCAGGCCCGCCGAAGAGCTGTACCGGTGCATTCCTTCCAGGCCCGTAAGCCGAGAAAATCCATTGGGGCCGGCCTTGACCGTCCGTCAGGTCATTTTTTATATCCGTGGCAGTTAAAGAATACCTACTTAATGATTAGCGTTTGATGTACCAGAGAACGGGATACGATGTGTACACATACTTTTCCCTGGGATCTTGCTTATCGCCTACTCCATCAATCGTCAAGTAAACGCCGTCGTCAGTAAATCGATTCAAAAGCGAGTAAATTTTTATCATCTGTCTGCTAGAAGCCAGGGTTTCCTCCACCCTTAATACAACGATAGGAAATTCAACACCAGCACTGAAAAGTGGACTACCTACCTCCGAAGCCGCCACTGGGTTTGTTCCCACCGGACTGTAGTACCCCGAATCTGTTCCCAGTAGTGAATCCAAATTGGCCTTGGTTCTTTGGGTGCTCATAAGCGCATCGATCTACATGGTAAGTTAGCTGGATAAGCTGAGGACTGTTGCATGAAAACGCATGGCACCAACGAACCCCCAAATTTGCATCTTCCCTGCTGATAATACGTGCAAATAGCCATATTCAAAGAGCCTCGGTGCTAACCCTCCCACCACCGGTGGTGTGAGCAAGTGTTGACCCGGTAGGGTATCGCGTCTTCACCTTTGTTGGAGCTACCGGTAGCTATTTTGTTCAGGGTGCCAGGTGTCAGACTAAGCTCTAAAAGGGTATAAAATGATATAATCAGTATTTGCGCTATTGATAATATTTATGGGTGTTGATTCAGCTCCTTTCGAAAGATGTGAGATTCACAAATGCTTCCGTTTGTTCAAGTTGTCAAGCTTTTGGATGTTTTCAATTTAAGGTCGCGGTTGAGGCTGGATTTTGATTACGTAATCAATGAGCTACAGCGGGACTCTGGTAGGGCTGAGGACAGGATGACGGTTGATCTATAGAGTATGGTGATTATTGTGTTCTAGAAGTGGTGGATGTGAGAACCGGAGCTAGCTATACATATGACCCTCTGAAGCTATGGAGCCGGTTAAACGCCTGAATTGCAACCTAAACGCCAAATACCGAAGTGTTGTTGTCCTGGTATCATAGATCATAGCTATTGTATCAAGCTTCCACAGAATTGGTAGACTTGAGATTTCTCTTCAGATCATCCCAGTTAAGGCCCTCCAGCCTGCGCCCTCCAAGTGACTCCAGTTCGCTGTCCAAATTTTCCACTCGCCCAGTAGCAACCCGTCTCATCATGACTGTATCCCGAGCACCGTGCAAGTTTTTTGCATTACCGCGTAAGAGTAAGTCATTGAAGCACTCTTCTTCGGTCTCGCTAAAAGGTAAGTTTATGAGATCCATGGCACGTTTAGCCCTTAACTCTCCGGCCTTTGTGGAAAGAACAAAGGTTATGAGCTGTTCTAATAGCGACGAACTATTCTCTTCGGGCTGTTGTCTTAGGAAATAAAACGCTTCCGGAACTCCAGTTCGACACAGCGATCCAAAATATGCATTGAGAGCTTTCTGAGAAGCTAGCGGGGGCTGAACGGTTACATAGTAGGCTATAGCAAGGCCGTCATCTTGCTTCGACGAGGCTGAGAGGACATAGAGAATTTCATCGGAGAAGGTGGGTATTAAGGATGGCTCTGTAATATACTCCAGGGCGCGCTGTAGACCTGGGTTAGCTTCTGCGTCCATTTTCAGTACTAGCTGGATACTCACTCGAAACTCTAGCTTATCGAGGTACCATAGCCCGTCAATAAATAGTCTGTACTTATCCGGTAGATAACATGTCCTGGCAAACTGCAAAGCGCCTGACTTCTCGGTAGTTCCTCGGCAGTCTTTCAAGATGTAGTAGATCAAGGATTGTTTGTGGTGATTGGGCGAAGACGATGAGATGATTTGCTGGAAGAGGGATCGCAAGCTTTGGTTAGATCTCGGGGGGTATATCTTTGATGCTACACCATACACATTAGCCTTGCTCATAGATTCCATTTTGGGCCCCAAAAATCTCTTACCAGCCTCAATTCCGAGTATTTTCAACAGCCGGTCAACGAAGAGGACATGATCAAGCACCCGTCGATTAGAGATTATTTGGTCCACGAGCTTGTGATCATAAGAAAAATCCCGCTTGAAGGCAAACGCAATATCGAACTCTTCCCAAGGCGCCATATTGCAGTCTATCCCCAGACCGCCGTTCAGGTGCTGTTTCTATGTCGTCTAGTTGTCTACGGCTCTCATCGTTGTTGTTCTCGGTTTATCAACTTGCAAGCAAAAGAAAAACGTCGCGACGTCGCCAAGACTCCCGATATCTGTATTATGTAATCTTCAATGTTCGTCTTCTTTAGGCAAAACATAAACACATCAACATCACGATGCAACAGACGAACAGAGAAAAGACGGCTCGCTGCGGTTTGATATCCTACACTCTTTGTTGCCACGAGGACTAGCAGCGTCTGGCAAAATGGCATCGGCATCATCGCGACCGCGGCGGTCGGTTTCCCGGAAAAGTTTTGTTCTCGAAGAAAGCTCCGACGATGAGCCTGCCTCGGGGCGCGTTACCCCCAGTATCCCAAGCAATGACGAAGACGAGGATGAGGAGGACGAAGAGGAGGAGTATACACCTGTCCCAAAGCGCCGGGTATCGCGGAGGGTCTCGAAGGCACCGGTGGAAGAGCCAACTACGCCGACTCCCGCAATGGGGCGCTCAAACCGACGCCGCTCTAGGATGAGTGGGAGAGAGTCTACAGTATCAACAACAGACGAGAGTATCGTCTCGGTGGAAGAAGAACCTGAAGTACGGTCAAGGCGCACCTCAAAAGCGAGACAGAGCATTCCTAGGAGCCAAAGTAGCCGACACTCATCTATAGAGGTCTCCTCACTTCCAACCCCCGCACCGTCACAATCTCCAGAAGCTGATCGAGCGCAGTCAAGAAGACTTAGCGGAACACCGCTTGCAGATATTACAGAAAATGCCGTTAACCAGACTCCCCCGAACGCTCCCGATGTTGAAAAATCCGTCATTGAAAGAGTTGACCCGAGCTCTAGCGTGCTTGAGCGGCCGATGGACATAATGCTAAAGTCACGATCAGCGCCCCAAATTGTAGAGGAAGAACCATCGGGACCTAAACAGAGAATGGTCATAACTCACCTTGTCCTTACAAACTTTAAGAGCTACGCTGGGCAGCAGTTTGTTGGCCCTTTCCACGCTTCCTTCTCCTCCGTCGTCGGGCCTAACGGATCGGGCAAATCCAATGTCATTGACTCTCTTCTATTTGTTTTTGGCTTCAGGGCTAGTAAGATGCGCCAGGGAAAAATATCAGCCCTTATCCACAACTCTGCCAACTTCCCCAATCTACCATTTTGCGAGGTTGAGGTCCATTTTCAAGAGGTTATAGATTTACCAGATGGGGGCCACGAAGTTGTCCCAGATTCGCAGCTGGTCGTTTCCCGGCGAGCCTTCAGAAATAATACCAGCAAATACTATATGAATAAAAGGGAAACGAATTTTACAACTGTCACCGAATTTTTGAAGGGCCGTGGGATCGACCTGGATCATAAGCGTTTCCTCATCTTGCAAGGTGAAGTCGAATCCATCGCTCAGATGAAAGCAAAGGCTGCAAATGAGCACGACGATGGTTTACTTGAATACCTCGAAGATATCATTGGAACGTCGAAATACAAAACTCCTATCGACGAAGCGGCAGCCGAAGTTGAGGTTTTGAACGAAACCTGCAACGAAAAGAACAATCGAGTTCAGCATGTTGAGAAAGAGAAAGCCAGCCTCGAAGACAAGAAAAATAAAGCCCTTGCCTACATCAAGGACGAGAATGAGTTGGTTGAGAAGCAATCCGCACTCTATCAAATATACATTGATGAATGTAATGATAACACAAACGTCACTCAAGAGGCTATCTTACAGAATCAAGATTTACTCAACCTGGAACTCGAAAAGCATCAGGGCAATGAAGATGAGATCAAGCAGCTTCAACGTACATATAAAAAGGCTGCGAAGGAGTACGAGGCCATGGAAAAGGAAACTCAAGGTATCATGAAAGAAATGGCGAAGTACGATAAAGAATCAGTCAAGCTTGAAGAGAAACGGAAATTCTTGAACAATAAGCAAAAGAAGCTCGAGAAGTCCATGAACACGAGCCGTCTTGCCGCCTCTGAATGTGCCGGGCTTGTTGAAAAACACAGCGATGACTTTGAGAAGAAATCCGCCGAGATTGCAGCTCTTGAAAAGGAAATGAAGATAGAAGAAAAGGAGCTTGCAGAAATTCGTGAAAGTCTCAAAGGAAAAACACAGGGCCTTTCGGAACAAATTGCTGCCAAACAGACATCTCTCGAACCGTGGAAAGAGAAAATCAACGAGAAACAATCCGCTGCCGCTGTTGCCCAAAGTGAATTAGATATTCTTCGTGAAAAGGGCAATGCCGGCGCAGTCGCTTTGGAAGAAGCACAAGCTAAAATTGTTTCTATCAAGGAAGACATGAGTGCAAAGACAGCCGAGCTTGAACAGTGCCGGGCAGAAAAGGCCAATCTCGAGCACGAAGTCGCTACCTGCTCCGCGAATGTGCAAAAATTTGCCGACAAAGAACCGGAATACCGTTCCAGGCTCTCTCATTTGCGCCAGAAGGCTGACGAGGCGCGTGCCAGTTTATCAAGCACACAAACCCAGGGCAACGTCCTCTCGGGGTTGATGAGACTAAAGGAGTCCGGACGTATTGAAGGATTCCATGGCCGTCTCGGAAACCTTGGAACAATTGACGAGAAATACGACGTGGCCATATCCACAGCTTGTCCAGCACTTGACAATTTGGTGGTTGATACTGTTGAAGTTGGTCAACAATGTATTGACTACCTCCGTAAGAATAATTTGGGCCGGGCCAACTTCATTCTGCTAGACAGGCTACCTCGGAGGGACATGTCCTCTGTTTTCACGCCCGACAGCGTTCCCCGCCTATTTGATCTCGTTAAACCTGTGGACGACAAATTCAAGGCCGCCTTTTATAGTGTGCTCCAAAATACCCTGGTAGCAAAGGATTTGCAGCAAGCCAACAAAATCGCATACGGTGCACGAAGATGGAGAGTAGTGACGCTAGATGGACAACTCATTGATGTTTCCGGTACTATGAGCGGTGGAGGTACTCGGGTTGCTAGAGGTGGAATGTCTTCTAAACAGGTGGCAGAAGTCTCTAGAGAGCAAGTCGCTAAGCTTGATGCCGATAGAGATGCAATGGAGAAAAAATTCCAGGCATTTCAAGAAAGGCAAAGGGAGCTGGAAACCGAGTTAAAAACGACCAAAGATGCAATCCCCAAAGTTGAAACGGCCATTCAAAAACTCCAGCTAGAGATTGATAGCGCCAAGCGGAATCTCGCAGATACCCAGCGCAGAGTGAAAGAACTCTCCGAAGAACACAAACCATCCGCAGCTGATGAAAAGCGAGAAGCCAGTCTTGAAAAGACTATTAAAGCTTTGGAGAAGGAGATCGAAAAGCTACGGTCCGAAATGACTGGAGTTGAAGAGGAGATCCAGGCCCTCCAAGACAAAATCATGGAAGTCGGTGGAGTAAGGCTCAGGGGCCAAAAGGCCAAAGTGGATGGTCTCAAGGAACAAATTTCACTTCTGACAGATGAAGTGTCCAACGCTGAGGTGTCCAAGTCTAAGAATGAGAAACTGCGGGTTAAGCATGAGAAATCCCGTGCAGACGCAGAGGCTGAGCTTGAAAGTGTCCAGGAGGATATCGAAAAGTTGAATGAAGAGGCCAAAAACCAGGCCAAGGCAGTTTCCGGAATTAAGCAGAAAACAGAGGAGGCGGAAGAGGTAAGTAATGAGCATTAACTCAATAAATAGCCATGCCCTCATACTAACATTAATTTAGGCCTTGCAAACCAAACAGGAGGAGTTGACAGCATTAAAGACAGAGCTGGATGGAAAGACCGCGGAGCTCAATGAAACCCGAGCAGTTGAGATTGAAATGCGAAATAAGCTTGAAGAGAGCCAGAAGGCATTGGTTGAGAACCAAAAACGAGCAAAATACTGGCATGAGAAGTTTTCGAAGCTTTCCCTCCAAAGTATCAGTGACCTTGGTGAAGAAGAGGAAGCACCTGAGTCATTGCAAATCTACACAAAGGATGAACTTGCAGAGATGGACAAGGAATCCCTAAAAGCAATGATCGCTGCGCTCGAGGAGAAAACGCAGAATACGTCTGTCGATCTGTCAGTTCTAGGGGAGTACCGTCGCCGTGTTGCTGAACATGAATCTCGCTCCGCAGACCTGGCAACTGCGCTCGCCAGTCGTGATGCTGCTAAATCACGTCTTGATACACTACGTTCTCTCCGTCTCACTGGCTTCATGGAAGGGTTCAGCACCATATCTCTTCGGCTGAAGGAAATGTATCAAATGATTACAATGGGCGGTAACGCGGAGCTAGAACTTGTTGACTCCCTAGACCCCTTCTCTGAAGGTATCTTGTTCTCAGTCATGCCTCCAAAGAAGAGCTGGAAGAACATTAGCAACTTGTCCGGAGGAGAAAAGACGCTGTCAAGTTTGGCTCTGGTCTTTGCCTTGCACCATTACCGCCCAACGCCGCTGTACGTCATGGACGAGATTGATGCAGCGTTGGATTTCAGAAACGTAAGTTTAGGATACCCTCCTTTGGAAAAGATTATTGTGATTATTAACCATCGATGAGCAGGTCTCTATCGTCGCATCCTATATCAAGGAGAGAACAAAAAACGCTCAATTCATCGTCATCTCTCTGCGAAATAACATGGTATGTGCCTGCTCTGATGTTGTTTTCAGGCTTAACAAATGCTAATTCGTATCCTTTTTCAGTTCGAACTTGCGTCTCGCCTTGTGGGTGTCTATAAAGTGAACCATATGACAAAAAGTGTCACGATTGAGAACAGAGATTACATCGAAGGAAGAAATTGATTCATGGTATTCGCGTCCTGTTTTCTCTTCGTCCTTTTCTTCGTGTATGGTTCCTTGAGCATGGGGGCATCTTTTGGTTATGGGCATGCGGTGCGTGTTCTTGTTATATGGGTTGGCATATCAAGGGAGGCTTGGTGATGATATATATAAACGAGCGACGTCTAATGTTGATCTGTCTGGCCTCACGATTCATGAATGAATATATCAGTTTCTTTCTTCGGTCACAGAAACCGTCATGGAACATGGAGTTTCAAGTTCGGGGCCATTGAATGGTCAACAGTTGAAAAGCTCCTTATTGTTTGAATATATGTATGAGACCCGAAAGTGGACAGCGTAGACGTCCGTATATATGCTCTTCACAGCAGGCAAAGTGCCGGCCGTGTCAGTTGGGCGGTATAGTCAGTGCATGTAAATTATATGGGGACATCGTATGTTCCCAAGTGGTACGATAGAGCCCTAACCATACGCAAAGTATCTTCTTTGGATGGTTAACTCAATCTATATTTCTCCAAAGCCAGGGAAGTCCGCGGTGAAGTCACCAAAAAGGAAATCCCACTCCCCAAAGATCTAAATCAAATAACATAAGTGTCAGCGGGTATCTTTGCAGTCTGAAAATTGAATAATGCCAGGTACTCACCCCGAAATCCGCTATCTCACTGACTTTTGAAGATAATTGGCCGCTATGTAGAGAAGGCGCTGGTATAGGCATTGTTGCCATACTCGCAGAAGCATCTGTGCCAGTAGCCATCTGTACATTTCTCGGTTATTACAATTCACGCTCAATGGAAGAAACACTGGGAACACTTGCCTTGGCGATATCGCCGTCCTGGGTTCTGTCACCATTGCCTCGGGATAAGATGCTGTAGCACATGCTGGTAATGCGATCAACAGCAAGCCTTTGGTGTGATAAGGCCGATTCAGGCCACCGCTTCGTTTTCACCATTGAGATAATAAAACAAAAATAGCAATACTCTCTTATTCCCTTCTCCAAAATCAAAAACTTGCTTTCTAGGTGAGGTAATGTTTTCTCGACCAAGGCAATAAGAGATTCTGTCATCGCTGGCAAAGTTGCTTGGATAAGATATGAAGCTGGAGGCATAGATATGGTTAGCATTTGACACTTGCTGTGGTTAGAGTGGACGTAACTCACCGAAGCCACGATCAGACCTGTACATGTAATGACATAAGGTGAGCGCAGCTTGAAAGGTGGTATTTGTAAGTAGTGGCCATGCCAGTCGGCCCAGCTGTTCTACTACTTGATGCTGCTGGCAGAGCAATTCCATCGCGACCTCAAGTCTAGCTCTCCAGGAGTAGTTGGAAACGGAAGGTGGAAAATCACTCAAGGCACAGCATGAATGCAAGCATAATTGGCTGCGCCTTAGCTGCGTGTCTATCAATGCCCTCCAGAGCATAACTCTCTGCCGCTGTCGCAGGTCTGTGGACTCAAAACTCTCCCAGGTCCGAGGGACTTCTGAGAGATGCCGTGTCAACTCATCGTCTAGTTCTGACAGTTGAGCCGCAGAAATAGCAATTCGGGGCGCATTAACAAGGGCACATATGCGTAATCGTAAGTCAACCGACCTAGCCAGAGTGACTTGAAAGGAAGAGTCGGTGGGTATCTGCCAATGCTTCGGTTCAGGGTATTGAGTAGAAGACTCGGTAATATCTTCATCATTGATGTTTATGGGCGGCAGGGCATCATAGTCCACCGCTTGAATAGTAGGCGGCATCCCTCTGTCAAAGGAAGCATTGAGGTCCAATTCCACAATGGTAGACCATATCCGCCGTCGCATCTCTCTGTCAAAATGGGATACTTTTGCGTCTGGCCCGAGTTCTCTATGGTAGCCTGCCGACATTGCTAGTTTCACAATAGTTCCTGTCGCAGCCCAGGCCTGGTTCTTTTGGGTATAGTTAGCATCCTTTGCAAGGACAAGCAGGCAGCGAGTCTGTAAAAGGACCATGTTCGGCCGTTTTATTCCCGAATGGAAAAGCCAGGTGTCACCCCAGTGTATCCATTCCATTGCCATGTTGCGGGTTACGGTGACGCTCTTGTCGCTTGAGGGAGCCACGGGCTCCGGCGCATCCACACTCCATACTATTGACAAGACGAGTAGCAGCTGTACTACAAATGACGCAGCAGCCTGCTGGGGATGCTGATAGAGGTCTTGCAGACGTTCGTAGAATGTTTGCTTATGCAGGACATGGTATGTGCTGCTTGAGAAGGCAAAGTAGTACTGGACCAGATTGTATGTCACAGGCCGCGCAGGTAGCAATCCGGTGAGGAAGACTGCATCAAGGGCCGATTCCCCCGAGAGCGGCCTCCTTATCTGGTCCAGATCCTTCTTGAGCGCCTTTAGATTGCGGATATTGGCCAAAGCAGGAAACCTGCTCTTCAAGTCTTTGGTATAGGCACGGAGATCCCCAAACTATACATGCGTATAAGCCAGGTGAAAGATTTCGAAGAAAGGAAAGGTAAAAAAGAAAGAAAGAAAGAAAATTGAAGCACAGAAATAAAATCAACCGACCTCGGTGACCAGGCTTGCGACATTGCTCAGTCCGTAGAAGCGAGTTCTATTCCCCTTGACTCCCAACAGTGGTCTGCTGTGTGCATCCGGCCTGGTGGTGGTAGTAGTAGTTATAGATCCAGCCTCGTCTCGAGAATACTGCGTAGAACGCGGCGAGGGGGTATGCTGTATCTCGCTGTCCGCAGCAGCTCTTGAATGCAGTCTGCCCATTGCCATCCCTTGCTTTGCGTAGGCCTGCGACTGAGCAAAGCTGAGCACCACTCGCTCGAGCTCCCGAATCCGCTGTTCTTCGCTCAGCCGCGAGCTCGAAGCATCGCCCCGGACATCACGGCCGTCCGCGTCTGCACGAGACCTCGACTGCTCGTTTGATAGAGACCGTGTAGCCGGCAGCGTGCCAGTCGAGCTCCATGTAGTCGGTCCAGCGTTCTCGTAGACACAGGCATCCGGCCACGGTCCCTTTGCGCAGCGTCCACAGGACGGGAATTCCAGGTCGCATCTCACTTTTCGAGTCCGGCACTGGAGACATGCAATCGTTCTCCTCTTCCGCTTCTTCTTTGGCTCCTTTTCATGCTGCTGCTCTGCTTCGGGCTCTTCTTCATGCTCACGCTGCTCACGCTGCTGCTGCTGCTGCTGCTGCTGTGACTGTGACTGTGGCTGTGGTTGTGGGCGCGGTTCCTCGTCTTCCTGCTGCTGCGCTTTCTCAGCGTCCTCCGCAGCTCCCGGAGCCTGCGCGCCTTCGGCCATGCTGGAGTATCACGTCTTTCTCTTCGTCTTCGTCTCGCTGCCTCGCGATCTCGCCGTCTTTAGCCTTCGTCTCTCCAGCTTCTTGTTTATCTTTTTCCTTGCATCGTCGAGCTTTTTTGATAAAACTAAAGAAAAGAAGCACGCCGGAGTTTTTCGGCGATAAGCTGTGCAACCCCCTGCGGCTGAGCCGAAAAGGCCGAAGTGAAGCGCCCCCTTTTTTCTATTCTTCTTGACTTTTTGATGTCATTCGATTGGCAAGTTTGATATTTGATTTGCGACGGCGACAACGGCGATAGGACAGGTGATGCTCTGTCCGGGGGACCTTGATCGTCATGGATTTATGCAGGATATCGGAGATAAACTGGCAGGCAGCACTATTTCACCGCATTTAAAGGAGGTGGATGGCCCCCCGTTGAAGATGGTTGATGATAGTCAAATATATAACTATACACGATGTTGGGTTCGATCTTCTCTCGTGCAAGGGAGGCCCTTGTAGTGCCTGAGAGAAGGGATGGCGGCTCTACGGACAGATACTTATTCCCTACGGTTGACCCCAGAGTGGACGGAGACGGATGTGACCACGACTGCGCCAGCTGCACCATTCGATACCCGTCAAGATTCAAAGTTGATGAAGGCAGAAACCTCTACGGGACGGTCAAGCCAGTCACGAACCATGTCCTTGTTGCTACGGGCAAGTCGGACTGGGTATCAAAGGTGGAGAATGAAAAGGGGTCTCTGATGGAAGCCTTCAGCGATTCACCTCAGCCCAAGGGAGAGGTAAGTGTTCCATGTTCATATTGTACGGTACATATATTGACAGGACCCTTCAGAGAACCGTGGTTCTAGCATCCAATATACCAGTTGATCCGATGAGTGATGATGCATCTTCAACGGTGCTCCTCCTACCAGCATTCACCTACGTCGACCACGTATCAACAGCTGATATACCAGAGCTTAACGCTCGTTTTGTCAGCAAGGACAACTCAGACCAAGCTCAAGCACCCAGTGTCAAGAGTAGTCTGCAGTCTCGCCCTTGTCCGCGAGATTATGTTGTCTTGCTATGCTCCCACAAGACCCGCGATGCCCGGTGTGGTATATCAGCGCCGTTGATCAAGAAAGAACTCGAACGACACCTCCGTCCTCTCGGTCTACTGCGAGACGACGATGATGAGCGGCCCGGCGGCGTTGGTATCTTCTTTGTCTCGCATGTGGGCGGTCATAAATTTGCAGCCAACATGCTGATATATAGAAAGGAAGATGAGCAGATGATATGGCTGGCCAGGATACGGCCAGAGCATTGCGAGGGTGTCGTCAAACACACAATAATCAATGGCAAAGTGATTCATCCAGAGACTCAACTTAGAGGTGGATTTGACAGAAAGAACGGGTTGACCAGCTGGTGACGCCTATACATATATATGTAATGATTCTATAGAGAACGTTCAGCAATGAACAACAACTTATTCAGCCGCCATGGCATCTACCTCTACTTCAACCATCATATCACGATTGATGAAACCGTTCTGAACCACCAACATCGTCGCCGCAGTCCCAATCTCAGCGTTGGTATTGTTCGCATTGCTCTTCTGGTCTCCGAATATCTCTGTGAACGCTTCGCCAACTGCACCACAGTCTTCGTGTCTTCCAACAAACATGCGTACTCTCACTACACTCTGCACCCCGTTACCTCCCAGGCTAGTGACAGCACGTAGACACTCTTGAAAGGCAGCGATGGTCTGTTTCTTTGCGTCTCCGGGGAAAAGAACCTGTGGTGGCTCGGCAGCAGATGAAGCCTTGTTGGGATTGACGGCCGTGGTGCCTGAGATGAAGATGTGTTGGCCATGGCGGACGCCTCGATAGTAGCCGATTATTTGCTCGAAATGAGACGGTGTCTTGTAGAAGGTCTTTTGGCTGGTCGGAGACGGCTTCGAGACCGTTCCTGATACCTGTTGAGAGTCCATGTTTCCTCCTTGTTGACGGTTGATATTGAAGGTACAGAGAGCTGGTCGGATACTTAGTATCAACTGGACTCCGCTCGTCTTCACTATTTTATATATGCAACAGTGACTCACTTCGGTTTTATTTTTATAGCCATGCAGGTGGATACTATGGACAGGCGAATGAAAACAAGTACAAGAGAGAAGCGGTTGTTAAGTAAACTCAATTGCTCGTATCTATATCGCTTTTCTATAGCCATGCCTGGGATTTACCCCTTTGCAAAAACATTAACAACACTTTTAAACAGAGTATCAACACTAGGCAGAGCAAACGATGGGGCGATGTCAAATACATCAGCCAGGCTCTTATTCTTCTCAACTGCACCAGCCGTTTCCTGCTCCTCAGATGGATTCTCAGTTGAAGCCTTGGGAAGCCTCCGGTATGAACCAAAGATATCCTCCAGCCCGCTCTTGAGGGGGAGAGTGGACTCGGCGAATGCAGAGTCCGGTAGAACTGATGCAACGCCTGATGTCATTCTGGTGATAGACGCGGATGAATCGATAATTATGTATTCACCTGTCTTTGTATCGGGTAACAAGGCAAGCGGGGTGCTGTCTATTGAGGACTGGAAGATCGGAGAAGACGATTCAACGCTAAAGACACAGAGTTGGTTTCTAGCTGACTTCCCCTTTTTCGACATTGGATTGGAATGGTCTACTGGAGGACGAGAGAAGCAGGTTGCAAATGTTCGGCTGCGAGGGTTTATTGCTAGATATGATTGGAAGTTGTCCTTTGCTTTCTTGATTCGCAAGGGAATGTGGGAGATAACTCGGTCGGATACAGTATCCCAGACAAAGGCAGAGTCAGAGACAATTATCAAGTATCGGTCGATAAATCCACAACCCTGAGCAGGGTCCGTGTAGAGGCCTTGACGTGAGAGGTGAAGGCGGCCTGTTTCGGGGTCGAGGAGGTAAACCAGCCCACAACGAGAGACAGTGGACCAGCACACAGCCAACGCAGAGCCATCTTCAGAAAAGCATAGTGAAGCAGAGGGTTGATCGCTCGGTTCTTCTAGAGGAATAACATGCGAGCATCGCCAGGATTTCACCTGATTAGTACTTCCGCCACGACTGCTCATTTTCCTCGTACTTTTGCTATCCGGTGTCCAGATTCTGAGCATTCCATCCGAAGCTACGGTGGCGAACATATAGCCCTGCGGATGCACAGCAAGGTCAAGGACGGCCAGAGCCTCACCGGTAGTCGAAGTATGCGGTGAGTTAACGCGAGACACGAGCTCCCATTCCGTAGTGGGTTCGTTCCACCGCCAGAATTTAAGACACACCTCTCGCTTCGGCTCGCGGCTTTGATGTTCAATACCGGGGTGTAAGGCCTTAACATCATCCGGATATTGCTGCCATTCATCGATGGAGGCAAGCCAGGAGCCATCATGGGATACCTGAACAAAGGTGATGTCCGGGGTAGTTAATTGAGTTCCCTGTGGACCAACATTGAGGACAGAGGCGTTGGTACGGGTCAGGGCTTGACGGTAGACTTGTTGGTTTGAGCGCATGTCGAATGTTTGGATATAAGACGAGTTGGTTGCGTCTCGTGCAATTCCTGTTGACGCTGCGACAAGGAGATGGTTACTGTCTATAGGATGTACGAGCGCCGGAAGCCTGCAGGGCAGTTTGTGATGGCGTTCTCTGGAGTCCTCCAGCACCTGTAGCCCGCTAATGCTTGCAGTCGGCTTAAGCTCAGAGGTAGTCAAGACCATGGCAGAGTTATCCTGAAGTTTAATGGCATAGCTGCTGCCCTTAGGGGACACAACGATATTGCATATCGCAGAAGTGAGATGGGGCAAGAATTGCTTCCTCCCAGTATCAAGCTGCCAGAGAACCATGACGGTTTCGAGGCCACCAGATATGAGATAATTTCCTGTGCAGTTGTTAGTACTATGATACACAAGCACTTCAAAGTGACATGACGAGGGGGGCAAATACCATCTTTTGACCATCGAACAGTCTTGACAGGTCCGCGATGCCAATGGAACTTCAGTGACGAGGCACCTGGCTCCGCCATCCGACGGTCCTCAAGCCCCTTGAGAGTATTTAATACATCACTGTACATGATGATAGCTCCCTCATTTTGTCCCACTGCAAGATCAACGACGGGTTTCTTGTTGCCCTTTTTCGTGGTAGACTCCCTATCGGGCTCACGTATATCGAAGCTAGTTGTAGTGAAGGGTAACTGTACTTCACGCCATGTGTATTCCGGTTCGCGCTCTGAACCTTTAGCCCGATGTCCAATGATAAGAGAACTTCCAGCTATAGCAATAATCACAGATCCGCCCGCAGCGAGTCTAAAGTCATTTATCTGCGTAGAAGTCTCCAGGATAACAGAGTGATGTTTTGGGCCATCATTCTGAGGCTGATCTCCAGACTTATCGAAGGAGTTGATTGATATTTCACGCTTCCCATTTCGCATGACCAGTGCAAAGACAGCAACATCCTTCACATCCTCTTCATCATTGCCATCCTTTTGAGGGCCCTGTTCCACCTTGATAGATAGCAAATATGATCCTTCAAGTTGCATAGTTCGCTGGGTCTCTCCGGTTGTCCAGTTCCATTCGGCAATTGCACCGCCTGAGGTAGAGACGTATGCTATCTCATCGTCGATCGGAGAGAGTACACAGCCAGAGATACGTGTGTTATCACAAGATCGAAGGCCACGGACGGCATGCGAGGTCGACGTCGAGTAGACCTGGACGGCGGACTCAAGACTTAGAATTATATGGCTGTTCAAGTTAGTAGAAGGTAAAGAAAAGCCACAGAGTGTACACATCAGACTTACTCTTCATCCTTGGTAAAGACAGGATCCAGATTCAGGAGACGGCCACCAGTAGTAGGAGACATTCGCCAGCCATTTGGTCCCTTTTGTCGCGCGATTGCTTTCTCATCGTTCGATTTGATAGCTGACTCTGCTGTCTTTGCGACTGCATTCTTCTCCTTGTCCTTCTTTTTCTTCTTGTGAGATTTCGACGGCGTACTTGTCTCTGGAACACC